TGCCCTTGTGACCAAGAAGGCCAGCGCTATCCTGGTGTACATTAAAAAGAGTGTGTCCAGCAGATCAAGGGAGGTTCTCCTACCCCTCTACTCTGCCCTAGTGAGACCTCACCTAGAGTATTGCATCCAGTTCCGGGCTCTCCTGTTCAAGAGGGACAGGGATTTACTTGAGAGGGTCTAGCAGAGGGCTGTGAGGGTGATTAAGGGACTGGAACACCTGCCTTGTGAAGAAAGGCTGAGAGACCTGAGACTCTTTAGTCTGGAAAAGAGAAGACTGAGAGGGAATCTAATTAATGTGTATCTGGGCGTCAAGAAGGAAAGGACAACCTCTTTTCACTTGTGCCCTGTGATGGGACAAGGGGCAATGGATTCGAGCTAGAGCACAGGAAGTTCCATCTCAACATGAGGAAGAACTTCTTTACTGTGAGGGTTACAGAGCACTGGAACAGGCTCCCCAGAGAGGTTGTGGAGTCTCCTTCTCTGGAGACTTTCAAGATCCACCTGGATGCATTTCTCTGTGACCTGCCCTAGATTCTATGATCCTGCTCTGGCAGGAGAGTTGGACTCAATGATCAACAGAGGTCCCTTCCAACCCCTGACATTCTGTGATTCTGTCATCCACTTTATGCTGGAAGAATGGCAAAAAAAAAAAAGGAAACATTTGTTAATCTTCTTGGATCAATTGCTGAAAAACAAATGTCTAGTGCTAGAGAAGCAACTAATTATCAACTACATTTGGTTATTAGGATTTGTGCTGAAATCTAACTAAGCATTCTAATAAACAGGGCTGGTTTTGAGAAAATACAATACGTAGCAGGCCTTATTCCAGGTAGTTCCTGTGAGTAATAATAGGTCTGAATCATAGTTTGCAGATTCCGTAAGATTGCAGTAATATTCCCTAAAGTTACATCAAGATTCCATAAGGGAAAGGATGTGGAACAAAGCCTAGCGTAACTGTCTTCTTTTGAAGTGGGGTAAATGATGGATGTTTAAAGATCACCCAGTGCTTTGTGCAGAAATAAGTGTGGTTTGGATTTTCAACAGGAAGCGCATTCACAGCCAGGAGACACTTGGACAAGTACTGCAAGACGTAAGTGATACATTTTTAATTTCAGTTATCCTGAAGGTGTTGCAGAAGTGTCACTGAGGCTTGTGTATTCACTAATATTGGAAGCGATGTACTAGTGGGCTAGACTTGGAATGTTCTCATTTACTTACTGCAGACTGATAATCAGTAAAGAAGTTTAATCTTTTGGTTTTTTGCTTCTCAACCAGAAAAATAGCATTTGTTAGCAGCTGAGGAAATTTGTCTTTTTACACCGCTCAGATATATGGAAGTTTCTGTATTACTATTTTATGAAGTCTTTATTTACTCCCCTAAGTGATTCCCTGTTACCTACCTCTGCTGTAACGTCTGTGAGAAGTCGTGACTATTAGTGATGAGTAGGGAGCTGTACTTGACTTCTATGCTCATCAAAGCAAATGTAAACATTCTTTATGCATTTGGTTATATTTGGATGTACTCATTCTTGTTGTCAGCGTAGATCTGCTAGCTTTAATTATATGTTGTATCCTTCCTCCAACTGTTAGGCTTTGGCATTAATTTGGGAGCCTATTGTGATTTAGAAATTTCAATGTTTTTATTATGTAAAGACTGAAGAAAACAGCAAAAAGAGAAGAAAAGCAAATGTGCAATCCAAAGATTAGCTTTGGAGTTTAGGTTTTTTTTAATTTGTTAGAGTTTTTTAATTTATTAGAGTTTTTTAATTTGTTAGGGTTTAGGGTTTTTTTCAACTTCTTTCCTTACAGCCAGGTCATATAGCATCCTACTGTTATAATCTTTTTTAGTGTATGAGCTGTTCTGATCGAGTTAATGCCACCTATTTAATATTTTGGTATTGTGCTTTGCTTGATTAGATATACATGTAATACTGAAGGGTTGGAGGTGAACGCTGAGGTCTTAATACACTATTTTTACTGGGTGGACAGGAGAACTTTGAATACCTTGTTTTAACAATTGTTTAAAGATATCTGACTTGGTTGGTGGATCAAAGTATGCCCTTGATAATATTTTGCTTATTAGATGAGAACAAAGCCATCTT